AGGCAGAAGCACGTATAGCGTAGCCAGCCTATTGAGTGCATGCTTGCACCTGAGAGAAGTCATTTTCCTTGATAATGATGGCAAAAGTGCGGACATTACATTACTATCATGGCAAGGAAAACAGGACACAAACTATGTATAAAAATTAAAAGAGGAAGAAAGCGAGAAAATAAAATCTGAAATAAGTATATATGAAGAGAAAGAAACAAAAAGGCTGGAAAAGAGAACAAGGATGAACGAGGAAAACGAAGAAGGCTCTGCACCTCCCTCAGGCTTGGAACTTCTAGGGCAGAGCTGCCTTTTCTCCGTCTTTCATTTCCTCCTTTCTTTCCTTGCACGACGGAACCAATTATGGAGCATGAAATTTCTACAGTAAATTCTGAAAAGCCGTGGTGCTGGTCCACCCTTCGCTGGATTGTGGCGGGCTGAACACAGAGCGTCAAAAGCAGCCCGGAAAGAGAAGGTTTTGTGAAAAACATTTTTGCTGGAAAGCCAACTTTCATTTCTTTATGAAGTGTATGCCAGGTGGTGCTCGTTATTTTGCAAAGTATCAACTACAGAGGCTGCTTGCATGAAACTTTCAGCCTCAGCCCAAGTGCATCTCTTTTGGTTTCCAGCTATCCAGACACTAACCATAACCCCACAATCGGGACACTCGCGGGACATGATCGACCAAATTAATAACAATACTGCACGAAAATCGGTCTGCTGACCATAACGGATCTTTATTGGCGAGTGGACGCTACTTCAACACAAAAATGCGTTGCCGTAGCCAGCAGCGCTTTGCGGAAAATATCAATTTCCTAGGCAGCCAATGTGGCTATGGCATGTTGGGAACTAATGCTGAAAGCTTATGCTTCTTTTCACTGTGTGCAAACAAACTCAATGTGCTGCGATTGCTAGCACTGTTGCCGTAGCAATGGCACATGTGATAGATTTTTCGGTGTAGTCACCGGGCCAACAGGTGCGTGCCGTTTTTACTTTATCTAGTTGAACACCCCTTGCAAGCGAGCAGAGAGATTCTAAAGTTAACCCCCATTGGAGAAAAAAAAGAGGTGGAGGGGGTGTAGTGGTTCAAAAATTTCTTGGCCTTATTCCAACTCATGGAGAACACCACTCAAGCCACATTCACCGCAATAAACTGGTGTCCTTCAAAAAAAAAATGGCAGCATATCCACGGAGTAAATAATGGAGAGTGGGGCGAAGCATTCGTCCGTCCATTCGTTCTTGCTTCCGTCTGTCCATGCGTCCGTCTGTGTGACCGTCCGTGCGTCCATCCGCCCGTCCGAGCGTGCATCTGTTCGTACGTCCGTACGTCCATCTGTGCGTTCGTTCCTACGTTCATCCGTGCATCCACCCCTGCTTCCGTTAATGCGTCCATCCGTCCGTGCATCCGTCCATGCATCTGTCTGCGTGTCCGTTCGTCCATCTATTCAACACTTCAAGTACCACAATCTCGCATCTTTTCATCATTTATTCCTCATATAGAAGCACCGCCATTTAGCGGACATTCCAAGGACTAAACGAGAGGTGGCACACGCACACCTTCTTACGGCTTGCGCTTCGTGTCTACTTCCCACCTTTAACTACCTCGGTTTCATGGTATATACTAGCTGACTGTATTCATAGCACTGCGGCCCAACACTCGCTAAACCTTCCTAAAACCAAGAAGGTTGAGTATAACGTAGCAACCCTTTCTTGTCAGATAGTGCTCAATGTACATGCCAATGGCTGCTAATGGGGAATGAAATGCAGGAGAATTCGGCTTTTAGTTAACGTGCACGCTGCAAACTTTTTATTGTTCAACAACACACAGGAGAAATCTCCCACCGGCACCACCTTGCAGGTCGAAACGTAAGACTGGTTACACACTACTACTACTACTACGACTACTACGAGAGACGAACAAGTGCCGCTTTAAGGAGCTTCGCCCCTAAATGTGTTCTAAAATTTGGAACGTGCTGTTGGCTCTAGTCGGGAGACACAGCATAGTTCGTTCACTTACTCATGCGTGTATACACCACATATTTGGGAGTACTGATGTGATTGCTGACGTCTAAAAAAGTTACAGGCAATCATTTGTAGCAGTGTATGACATTTCTGCTGCCATATAAAGTTAAAACAAAATGCTGCTATGGTCGATTTTTTTTTTTGGCCAAAATTACATGTACTGCATGTAATTGGCGAAGGACCACTTCTTCAGTTCAATCTCTCAAATCTCAAGGTTGCTAGCTTGGGAGATCCACATTGAGTTCTCAAGCCTGCCAAAGGATTTGAGAGGTGTGGTAAATACTATTTGGACTTTATCACATGTTTGCTGAGTGGGGTGGTTCAAAATACTACTTTTGTTAAAATAGCAGTGATCATATTGCCACAATATTCACTCTGCACGATTGAGGAGATGTTCACTGGTTGTATGTACTTTTTTTCCTAAATGTCAGCCTTCTTTTTCATACTGCTCCGAATTCAGTCTTTTGTGATAAAAAATTTTGTTACCTGTAACCTGCTCCAAATTTAGATTTTAGTGCTTCAGAAGTATCATTTTGCTGCTCGAAAAATTGCTTGCATTTTTCTGCAGATAAATGCAATCAAAAGGGTGTTTCAATTGGTTCATGCATAGCACCTCTACTCAGTGATCTTCTATCGGCAAAAATGGGCAAAAAACTGCAGGAAAAGTTAGAAGGCTCGCATGTCGTCAAAATTTTTAGATACGTGGATGATTTCTTGGTTATTCTAAATTGTAAGTCTTCTACGTTTCACTCGTTGGCCACTCAAACTATAGGTGTGTTCGAAAATTGTTTGAAGCCTCTTGTGTTGACACATGAAATTCCCCATAATGACAAATTACGCTTTTTGGATTTGAATCTGGTTTTTAGCTCACAGCACATCTGTTGGTGTTATGAACCACGTGCGCAGAAACCTCTACTTCCCTTTTCTTCTGCTCACAGTAAGATAGTTAAGCGAGACATAGCACGAACCTGCCTTGAGAATGCTTTAAATAGGTCGTGCGCCCACAATACCTCTGCGAGCTTCAAAGCTCAAGTTTCCCGCCTTAAGGCTTCAGGTTTCCCCGAGGCGTTTATCGCGTCTGTTGCTTAGACGATCCTGCGGACTAATAAGGCAGAGCAGAGGAAGCGACAGAATCTGAGCGACACGGATACAGAACGTGAAAGGATAGCCGTGATTCCATACATACACCAGATATCACATAGGCTCAAAAAAATCGGAAAACGTGTTGGAGTTCGTGTCCTGTTCTCGGCACCGTTCAAATTAATCAGCCTCACCAAATCGACTAACCCCCTGAAAACGCAATCATCAACGAAATGCAGAGTTCAACATCGAAACAGGTATGCGGCCTGCTCCCGGGAAGTCGTCTATAGGACCCCTCTTTCATGTGGTGCTTGTTATGTCGGAACGACCGGAAGGTGTCTGAACGATCGGCTGAGAGAGCACGCGAACAATGTTAAAAACGGGAAAGATGGTTTTCTTGCCCAGCACTGCACTGAGTGCAAGTGTGTTCCCCTCTTCGAGGAAACAGCGACGTTGTACAAACACAGAGATGTAAGCACCCAGGTCATTGTCGAGGCTGCGCAGATGGCACGCGAACAGGTGCCTTGTGTTAGCAAGCCCTCCGTGGCTTTGTCCGAGAAGGAGCGCAGGTTCCTCGAAGGATTCGGTGCGGGCAGGTAACGCGAACAGGTGCCTTGGATTAGCAAGCCCTCCGTGGCTTAGTCCGAGAAGGAACGCAGGTTCCTCGAAGGATTCGGTGCGGGCAGGTAGCTTTACCTTTCTGGTTCGGTTTCTTCTAGGTTTTTCTTTGCTGTTTTTCAGTGCCTTTGTATTTGTGTTGTTTGTTTTTGGTTTTTCTTACTCATGTTCTGCTCTTGTGCCATGGTCACTGTCTCCTCTATATATTTTCGTGCTCTGTGCAATAAGCTCAGTTGGAAGTTAGCGCTCGTGTCTTTCGTGTCCTTCTTGTCTCTGTGTCGTCGTTTTGTTCTCGCGCTATAACTATCATCATGCCATACCAACTAGCCCAAGCTGCCACACTTTTAAGCTTGACTTTTGTCTATGAACTGATGAAGTTATGTGCATGAGGAAACTGTTGTAGATCAAAAAAGAATTGGCTGCACCGTTTTGCACGAACAAAAAAACTAACTTTGTTTAGAAAGGGATGGCTGTTTCGGAGCGAGGTTGTGAGAACACCTGTTGTGAGAATACCTGTTTCCTGTTTGTCTCTTGGCGAAAAGAAAGTGGCTGGACTTGGCACTTTCTTCAGCGCTTGTTGATACTCGTTATCGGCACGCTACACTGTCCGCCATCAACGCTGATGCTAAGAGACAGTTTGTAAAAGAGATGCACAGCGCATGTTCTCCTGTGAACATCTCAATAACAGAGATCCTCACCAGAAAGGAGCTCGGCTGGTAATTTTCAGACATGAGCACTTGATGTTGAATCGGCATTATGCAAACTACTGATGATTTTCATATGATGACTTCCAAGTGTGACCTGCAGCTGCGGGAAAGATTCCTACTGACTGCTTTGCTGAAATTTCATATCATCACTTTGTCTCTGGCAGTTGCTCTATGTATTATTTTATTCAGATACTATATGCAAGTGCAATGAACTCGTAATTTCTTCATTTATTTGCAACTTGCTCATGGGTCGAAGACAAAGCAAGAGGCAAAACGATAATGTGCTCTTACTTCAATTTTATTGTTGATTTGAAATGATAGTCGTTGTTCAGATATAATAATAATAAAAACAATCGTAATACTAGTTTTGTATCGTTTGGTTACAAGTTTGGTGATAAGAATAATTGACTTGGCTATTTTGGCTATTTTTGGCTTCACTTGTGGCTTCTTATTTAATCTATCCGATGGGAACTCTGATTGCCACAGCAGGGGCATTGTGTGTCAAGCTTGCCATTGTGTCGACCTAGGGTAGTGCATATGTTTACAAGCTCTCATTGAGGATTGACCGAGGAATTGCTGTTATAGGTTGCAAGATGTGGAGAAGATTCAGCTGTCCGAGGACACGGTCAACCCAAACCAGGAGAAGACTGGCCCCAAGGACTTCGAGCTGCTCAAGGTGCTCGGCAAAGGTGGCTATGGAAAAGTGAGTTCGGAGAAGCATTCCTTGCTTCAAAAAATTGATTGGCCTCTTATCGTCACAAACCTTTTTAGCTGCATTTTCATGGCTTGGCTAGCAGCCTGTGGGAATCCTTGAAAATGAATTGGCAATGTAGTAGTAATTGTGGAATTCAGGCATTAACAAGACTGCACTTCGTTGGTACTAGACTAAATGCAACAAATAAAAGTAAAGTGAAACCTTGGTGATACGATCACGTCTTGTACAAATTTTGGGATGATATGATTTTTTTTTGTGGTCTTGGCCAAGGCCCATTAGCCTGCAATATACTGGGGTACAGCTGCTGTAAATGGATTTTCACCCTGTGGCGTTTGATACGAATATACACTACCCTCACTGTTGTGAAAGACGAGGTGAAGAAGTTAGGCTTTGCACTGTCCGGGTGCATGATTGTTCGGGGTGCTCCTGCATGTGAACTCCATTTGCGCGGGAGACTACTTAATTTTTATGATTGTGCTGGCATGACTGCGAATCTCCGAAAAAGCATCCCAAGCACCACTGTGATAAGAAATTAAAGGCAGAGCACAGCAGTTTTAAAGTTTTTTTGACTTCGTGGTTTCATGTCAACGTAATGGTGCTTATATGTTCCTAAGGCACTCTTGTCACGAGCCCGATAGCTGAAACACTTGGTAAATTCCAAAATAATTTTTCATAAGCAAAAAGACGCTGTACCGCAACTAGACCCAACCGAGCACGCTGTGCACATATGACGCGCTCTCTGATAAGAACAGGAAGTCTTATACCGGTGCCACCGGCGTGGAGTATCAAAAACTGCGAAAGCGAGGACAAGCAGGCACTCGGAGCAGAGGTGAGTGCATCCGAGTGATAGTGTCTCGGAGCTGTCGGATAGCGGTGACTATGACGTGTATGATTCCAGCGAGAAATGATTGGAACACACACATGCCGTTTCGCTCGGTAACCAGCTGTCCCACCTGATCGCTCTGCTTCACTTTTCACAGAGAGCGCTGTCATTCGGAAAGCTGTGATAGCAAATCCTCTGTGTCTTGTATGAGCGGTTTGAGCAGCCCATAACGAAACACCCTTCATCCCTAATCGCATACCCATCCATAGTGAACAGAAAATCATGTGCCAAACACCACAGAGAAAGGAAGGAAGCTTCTATGTGCCAAACACTGCTGCAATCGCCTTGTGCCCAGCTCAGCAAAGGCTGTAGGGGCCAAAGCTAGCGATGCAATTGGCTGCGTCACTTTCATTAACATACCAAACATGACGTCACACAGGGAGTGATGGCAATAATTCTGTCTAGGCAGGTGAGCGTTTCGAGCATACCTTGAAAATTCATTTGCAAACAATTAGTGCATCTCTCAAGCATGCAATTTGGCATAAATGACGGAAATGTGCAAAGGAGCGTTCCTAGCGAATTTCATTGAGATCCATTGACGTCCAAAAATCGCTGGAGTTGACTTTTAAGTAATTTTTGCCGCAGCACTGTGGTGGCATACAGAAAAGCGCACTAATATTTGGATGGAGCTACTAGCTGTTATGGATCACGATACAACGGGCTCATTAATTACTCAAGCATGCAAGCATCTGCATTTACCAATGAAAATTTAATCATTGACATTTAGGCGCCTTACAGTCACTAATTCAGAGTTCTTTATGACGTTGCTGTAGTCCAACTGCGACACAATAAGTGAAAATCTGTCCTAGCTTTTTTTTTGTTGCGTAATAACATTCCGTGTTTTCTGGTTCCCCAAATTTCTAATGATACAAATATTTGCGGTGACTATGCGAGATTCATATCAATGTATTCTAGGTACTACGTATGACAGTTGTTCACAATAAATAAAAAAAAAATTATTTTTGTCATTTACCTAAGGCATGTGCCATGGGCAGGGGCATCTGAACATAATGCTGCTACAATCCATAGCAATGCAGCCTTAAATCTCTGTAACAAACTACATACCTTACACAGAGACCTTACACCAGACTGCTAATGATCCTAAGGACTTTCTTTGCTAGATTGATGTGTTCTGTAAAAGCTCATCAAAGGCTTTTCAGCCATTTAAGTTTTGGCTATGGATCATAATTTCTTGTGGAGTTCCTAAGAAGAAAGCATCAGAGTTGGAGACAATGCAAATACTCGCCTCTAATGTATGCTTCATAATATGAGCATGTTTTGCCAAATGAATTCCGTAATTTATATTATTTAAATGTAGAAATTTTCTTGACAGTTTGCAGCTCTTCTCTTTTGTGTTTGTGTGCATGAACATTGCCGCTGCTAACCTCTTCTTTACTCGTGTTTGATCGCAGGTTTTCCAAGTCCGAAAGCTCACTGGGAAAGATGGCGGTCGTATTTTCGCCATGAAAGTACTCAAAAAGGTGCGGAATTTTTTTTTTCTCTTCTGGCGGAGCTCTTCTATTGCAAGTGCCCATATGTCTCAGTGGTTATGCTACTCGGACTGCTGGCCTGAAGGTTGCAGGATTAAGTCCTGGTCACGGTTCGCCAGGTTTCCAACAAGTGCAGGAGGTTACGATGCAAAGACGCCTTGCGGCTGGCGCATGCATTCATAACCAGTCGAGTCCTCTACTTTGCTTCTTGCCTCCACCTGCGCAACTTCGATGAGAAGGCCCTTGAGGCGATTCTCGGGAAGATGTACAAGCATGCTCTCGGTCTCCCAATAACCACATAGCGCCTCATGGGCCTGGAGATGGTAAACCCTTTCGCAGAGTTCCGGGAGGCACACTTGACCAATTGAATACACGATACTTTCAAAGACTTCGTCAGGTCGCTGCCTATTAGCCCGACTACACATCCACCATTCAACTGAGACGGAGGAGCGCGTACGCATCTCAGAAGCCTGGAGATATGCCCTGCACGTGCACCTTCTTCCAGCCAACATGACAGGTGAGGACCACAATGTCAGGTGCCTTGCACGGGTGCAGGCACTAGCCTGCCATTATGGGAACAAACACAGCATCTTTTATGTGGAGGCCTTTGTGAATGGGCTCACATTCAGAGCACAAGACATAACACGTGTGGAAGAAGTCGCAATTGCGCTAGCTGCAGCAGACCAGGACTTGGGCATCATCATTATGGCCTCCAGAAAGGCCTGCAGAAATATTAAACGTGGTTACGTCCCATACCTGGCGTACTGCATCTTACAAAACAGTAATTGCGTCCTGCGTCCCATAGAATCGTACGTGCTCCAGCTCGCACGGGCCTCAAAAGCAATGAAACGGCTGCCGCCGCAGCCCGCGTGCTCATTCTCTGGGCAACGCATTCAGACCTTTCCGAGATGGATCCCGAACTTAATCAGGCCTTAACATTTAGAGAAATTACTTAATTCTATCGATTTGGCAACGCAATTTTTATCATAAACCCTGTAAAGGCGTTACAAAGGCAGAAGAACACTTACTCCTCCGCCTTTACACCAAAACACTGCTGTGCCCGGCAGTTTTAAAATATTTCGATCCTGCCTGTACAGGAAAATTCCAGTATTGTGCGGAGAAGTCTCCCGACATCTTCCACATAGTGTGGACATGCCAGTCAACTCCGCACCTCACCCCAAAACCAAACCCCACCCGAGAGGACTGGGAGTCGGCCCTGCTCAGCTGTTCCGACATGGCGATCCAGAAGGCCCTGGTCAATAGAGCTCGAGTCGCGTTGGCTGCCAATGGACTTCTGTAACGAAGAGCCCACCTGGTGTGTTTGAGGGTTGGCCCGCACCGGGCCATCTCCCTCCTACTCCCTGTATGTATGTAAATAATGAAAATTGGAAGATTCCACGTACAGTGGGAATCGATGACATGCGAAGCACGAATCAGAAATGTTGATATGTCGCTTAGAAATCGGCGCAACGTTACGAGGTGGAGGTAAATGATGCCTTACATGACTTCCGTGTCATGATTGTCACGTTTGGGTGTGTTGTTTACCTTCGTCTTCTATTCACGCCACGTGATACCAAATTTAGTATGTGTGGGGCTAGCGAAACGACTGTGAGCTCGCTATTAGCGTGGTATGTTGTCATGTTCTTACATGACATGCGTCTCAGGATTATCATGTTTGCACCAGTCATATATTTCGTCATCCATTGACGTCACGTAACACCAAATTTGATATATGTGGAGCTAGCAAAATCGCCGCAAGCGCATCATGAAAGGCCCAATATACTCCAATATAGCATTGACGCACGCGCACGCTGGGCACAGCGATGCGACGTCAGCAAAACCCGAGGACTCTGTAGTGTGACGCCAGGCGCCACCCACGCGACCAGCGTCTGTCAGCACGGCCTGAAGGCAACCCGCGGATGCGTTACCCAAAAAACACGGCGTCTCCCCCTTTTTGTGACGAAGGGACGCCGGACGCGCTGAAACGCGCATGCGTCTAAGCAACGCAGCGCAGCGCGTCTGCCAGTATACGGCAGGACCAGCGCCTGGCATGGCAACACCGGTGTGACGCGACGAAATGAACACCGGCAAGCACACGCACAACGTCACGTCTAAATTTATTGATGCTTTGACCGTGACATGTAGTCATGTTCTCACATGACACTCATGTCACGATTAACATCTTTGTCATCCATTGGCATTACGTAAAACCAAATTTGGCATATGTGAAGCTGGCGAAACGATCGCAAGCGCATCATGAGTGTGACATGTCATGTTGTTACATGACATGCATGTCATGATTATCATGTTTGAATGTGTCATTTACCTATGTCATCCGTTCACGTCTTGAATATTGAGTTTGGTACACGATAAGCTAGCGAAACGGCCGCGAGCGCATCATGAGCGTTGCATTTAGTCATGTTGTTAATGGTGCATCAAGACGACGGACCGAATCCGGATTTGTCGTGGACGCGGACAGCTAATCCGCGGATGATCCGCCTGCAAGCGCATCCACACGACGGACGGAGTCCTAGGAGAAAACAGCCGGATTGCCCTCGACAGCAGGTTCTCTGCTCACCTGCGCCCGCTGAAAGCAGACCGGTTTGAGAGTATTCCACATGGAAGAAGCGACGCTTGACTGCGATGTCTGTCGCGTTGTGACAAATGAACGAGGAGTGTTATTCTTTCAGGAGAAAAGAGAGTTGCTGGCAGAATGTTTTTTCGACTACATTGTTCTCCAGTTGTAGAACTTCTGAACGCGTCTCCCATCCTTTTTTAGAGGCGGCACGTCACCGGTTGCAAAAGTTCGAATATTTCACCATCATGACGGCTAAGAATCTCGCGTGTCAAATGACGGCGGCGACATTTCTCGAACCACCAAGAGTGATTTCTGCGTATTTAATCACTTGAGAACAAAGCCCCCGGAAACTAAGTAAACCATGCTCAAGCGTAGATCATGCCGACCAGTCATGCAGCTATCCGCGAGCCATGGAGGACATGCCACGAGCAGACGAAAAGTGTACTGGTTGCCAGAAATCCCAAGCTAATCCGCTGAAGTATCGCCTTTTTCCTGCCAGAATCCCGATGTGAGAAACAGGTTGGGTTCATCCGTCCGCGAGCCGCGCGGACGAGTGGCGGACGAGGGGAATCGCTGATGTGAGGTCACGTGACGCGCCGTCCGTCCCGCCACATCGGGATTCGATCCATCGTCTGAATGCACCATAAATGACACGCATCCCATGTTTTATCATAATTTCAATGGTATCATACCTTCGTCATCCATTGACATCCCATAATACCGAATTTGGCATAAGTGAAGCTAGCGAAACGGTCGCCAGTGCATCGTGAGCGTGGCATGTAGTCATGGCGGGCGGGCGGGCGGGCGGGCGGATGGACACAGACAGACAGAGCTCTAAGTTGTCAAAATTTCTGGCGTCCTCCACTGCATCAATGCCATCTGGATGATTTCGATAAACCAACCTCATTGCTTATTCTAGAAGCATGCAGGCAACTTTGTGGAAGGCTTTCACGAGAGCTGTATCATTTCGAGTGCCAACTTCAACGGGTTTCACATCTAGCATCGTAACACTCTTGCAACACACCGACTGGATTGCTTACATAAAAACTATAAAGTAAAAGACGCGTGCAGCATGAGAAAATTTATGCACTTTAAGAATAAGATGAATTGGTGGCTTAAAGCTGCTGCTCTCAGTGGTAGGTGTTACGTTAGCACGGGGTGCAAAGTGGGCTTCAACTTGAAGGTGCGTTAGTTGGCTAGTTGGTTTAGCATGCTAAGTGTGAACGACACGACTGCATGTGCGTGGAGAACAATACGTTCAAACACAGCTTGGATTTTAACATTTTCTGTCAAATTTGTATATACATTCGGGCCTACTTCATGGAACAAGCGATTTACATGCACAACAGAGCACGAATTTGACAGTTATATTGGATTAAAAGATTTGTTCTCTCTCCTCTGGAATCTTGTATTGCCCCTGCCCATTCCTATACAGAGTAGAATGCCAATAGACACAATAAAAAATGTCTGTTTTTCTAATCAAGAGTCTCTTTCTCTTCTCTTATGCAGGATATACAGTACAACCTCGATTATGGGTCCCTTGGTTATAGTCAAATCTTGTTATAGCGAACCTCAGATGAATTATTTTTTTCAGATTAACAACTTTTTTGAAAACCCCTTCCAGATGTCCATTGGTTAAATGTAAAATTATTTCACTACTATGAATTTCAAAATACCGAATGTTTCAGAATAATGTATCAAATTTTGTTCCCCCATGTCTTCTCAACACTTCAAAATAACGAATACTGATTTTTAGAAGTTACTCGCGGCTGTAAAAATAATACTCAGCTTTGTGCCTGCCACTGTCATCACAACGTCTGCCTATTTCTCTATCTGCTTGCCCTATTCAAATGTGCGATAGCCCTATTTTCATTATCATCGCCTGGTACTTGTTTGTCATGCCAGGCTTCGCCCTGTTGCCATTGTTTTCATCAACCAGCATTACCTTCTTGCTTAAACAGCTGTTTCCTAGCCTTTTAGTTGGTGTTTAAGTGTTCGACATGAACTCCGGTAGCAGCGCGAAATGAATACTACGACAGTGAAAAGTGCGACGTGAGTGACTAGTGCTTGAACACTACGATGCACACTGCGACGACGAAGCGTGCACATGAGCGTAGCTGATGACCGATCTGATCCATACCATTTGTTGTAATAAGGAAGCTGCGACTAGTGCGAAGACTACAGCGCATGTGCACCTAGAAGAATCCGTGTTTAATGCCGATGCTTCGCATTGCGCAAGAAGAATGTGCCTGCTTAAGGAGGGATGCACCCTTTGAAAACCGAAAAATCTCGAAGAAGTCAATTTTTTTGTAAACCACATATTCGGGTAGCATGTCTTATATGCTATCTGTTCTGTAAATATCAATGTTTAATTATTTGTTTATTTATTCTTTATTCAATGATTACCCCGCTTAGCCCGAAGGCGCTGCAGCAGCTTGGTTACAATGTTGAGAAAAACACATCGTTTATACAGCATACTTGTTCATTAGATAAGCAATTCCATTCTCTAATGGAACGAACAAAAATAAATTAGCATACAAATTAGATTTGGTACGGTACTCTAGAATTTTGAAACTGATCATTTTGCAAAGAGATGTAATGAGGACTGTGAAGGTAATTTTCTTTTCGAATGCCGGTTTTACCAATGAAATATTCGGTACAAGAGCTTTAGCTGTAGTTTCTTTCGACGCCACAAGAGCAATTCCTATCGTAACTCATTTTTCATATTGGTGCAACTGCCATGTCTTGAGTACCGACTTAGGACAAACCTTGCAGCTCTATTTTGTATTGTTTCAAGTTTGTCACTTAAAGTACTTTGCCTGGGGTACCACACCGCACAAGCGTATTCAAGCATAGGTCGAATGTATGTTGAATACGCCATTGATTTTAAACATGCCGGTGCATGTCTCAGGCTGTGCTGTATAAAACCATGAAAATTTTATTAGGGAATCTAAACAAACGAAAAAGTAGCCCTTTCGTAATAGCCTCCCCCTTAAGTGTTCGGCGAACAAGATGTCGACAGTTCATCAACAACCAGCCACCAACGTCGTCTTTCTCTTTCTTGCAGCCAGGCTGTGCCGGCTGTTGTATATCAATATTTTGAGCTGCCCACATTAAGATGGATCGCACTCTTCCTCAAATTAACATGCACTACTCTGCACTATTTCATGTTATTTTTTCTCACTTATTAGAGTGTTACGCGCTCGCACACATATACACAGCACTGGCAGCAACTTATGTGTTTGCGTTTGCGAATTTCGCACAAATTTTAATGCTTTCTCTACAATGACTTTTCAAAATAACGAATTATTTTTAGCAGTCCCTCGAAATTTGTTGTATTGAGGTTTTACTGTATGTGACAACCTGCGTTTTACAGCAAATCAATTCTGTCCAAGCAAAGCCCTCATTGAAATAGCATATTGAAAACCTTAAATGTATATTTGACAAAATTTTATCACACTGGCCTCTATTGTACGATGCCATCCCGGTACTGTCAAGAAATGCTATATTTACTTGAGCCTGGTGTGCTACCAGTTTTGGGGGATTTAAAATAAAAATTCAATTGAAGGCAATGATATTGGCTTTTTAGTATAAAACTAGACTAGTGCACAAGACTTGTCTTACTCAGATGAAAGTAATGAGTAAATTGGGTGATTATTCTGGGCCAATTTCCGTGAGGAGGGATGAAAGCCAGGGTGCTCCCAATTCGAATTAACCGCTGGTAGATATACCACCTCATTCTTTTTAGCGAGAACTTGTTATTGGGCGAGTTGATGATTGCACAACATGGTGATTTGACAACAAGAACAGGAAAGGACAGTTGATTCGTATTTTTTTACAAGGATAGTAAGCAACTGTGTTAGTGACACGTCTTCTGCAAAAATGGAATCTGGTTTTTTTTTACGGCACACGCGCGTACCCGATAAGTTGTGTCACCGTAATGTGTGCTCACTGCGTCTGTGCACCAGTGTCTTTACGTTTGGTTTGCCGCCTTTGCAATAATATATATAAATAAGTTGTTTGTAGCACGTGTCTGTTCTCTGTTTCTTACATGTTTATGTCTTTTGTAGCACTGAAATCACCATGGTAGTTCATTACAGGGAGTTTTCCCCTATAGATAATCAACGCCTCCTAGAAAAATTATGCCTGGAACGTGAGCCGTGACCGCGCTGCCCTATCCTTGCAGGCCGAATCCATGTAGTGCCATTCATAGCAGTCTGCCATTTGTAGCATATCCTTGCGGTAGTTTTTCGCTGTCTGTTATTGCAATGCCTTTCGTTATTGCGGAGCCGTCGCTCCACCTAATTTAGGCCGTAATGCGGTGCTGTTGTGTACCCAGCTGTTCTTCTAGTCACCGACGAAACCAACCGGGAGTTTCCTTTCATGAAGTGCCATCCGTGATCTCTTTGCATGATAAGTGGCAGCAAGAAATATTAAGAGGCACCTTTCCCAGCACTGCAATCAAAGAGCACTCCGTGGTATGCAGCCTGCTCTTCCATGCAAGTGACTTCAAGCAAGACTTCACCAGGCGCCTACTCAAGCCAGATGCAGTGCCTAGCGTGTTCAGTGGACCGACGCTGAGCCTTGCTCGAAACATTGAGAGTACGACAGCGGCCAGTATGTCCATGAGCACGTCATTGCCAACAGTACACAATGAACTGTTACCGTGGCCAACTCAACTGGCATCACCGATTCAGACCACAGCAAAGTTCTGCTGGAGGTGATCACACGAAAGTTCATTAAACCACATTGTGCTAACTATGCCCAAGGAAAAACCGACATGAACACAACTGAGAAGTTTCTTCAGAGAAAGACCCTTTAAAAAAAATTCTCAAATTATAGCTCGTACAGTCCCCACAGTACTCTGGACATCGTGCCTTCCTTCTGTACAAAAGTGCATGAAATATCACGTATTGGGATAGGCTGTGTCTCAACAGCGTATGCGATACTTGTGGACAATGCTAGCACAGAACCATTTTAAGAACAGTTTCTTTTTTTTACTTTGTGCTTAAAGTGTATAGTTTTGCTTCGCCTGTTTGGTTTTGTTGTTTCTGTGTTTCTTTGACCTTGTGCCCAATTAAAGTTCTCAGTGTCTATGAGTTTACATCTACGCATTCCTTTCTTTCTCCTTCACCTGGAGTTATTTCGTGCCACTCACTGAATATTTGTACATCCTAGCACGTCCGAAGGCGGAGACGCTTAAAACAAATTGACGTGCCTACAAGCTAGCAGTTAGGTCCCTTTCTACGAGAAAAATGTGCGTGACAGTCATATTTTCCATGCGCTATTTATATTGTCCATCGACATGCACTATGCTCATCTTCATTGCAATAAGCAAATCCCGCACGTTTGTCGAAAATTCTATGACTTACACCACGTAGCACGGCAAGCTGAATATGCTACATTCTGCCCTCGTTTAGGCTTTCCGCGACGCAATTTGCAGGCTGGGAGGGGGGGGGGGGGCAGGGGAAGAAACACAAATAAAAAAAGAACGCTGCTGCGCTTATGTGCCTGGGTAAGTGCGTCTTACGAGTTGCCTTACAAGGCTTCTTGTCACTGTTTGGTTTGTTTTAATAGATAATTATTCTGCGAAGCTACAGGCAGGTTTCAACGTGTTTCAACACAGCGTCGTCTGCTCTCCGCCGGCACCGCCGGTAGACCGGCTGCTCTGAGTAACGCCATTGGGTGCGCTGTGGTTATCACGTGACCAGGCGGTATGTAGGCGGGCGCTCTCGCACGGCACTTGGTCAAAACGCGTGGCAAGGAGCTCCCTATGGGAAAAGAGCGACGTTCCAGGCATAATTTTTCTAGGAGGCGTTGAGATAATACATAGGACTCAGGCGGGACCAGAGCATGAGTTTGAGTTCACTGCAAGTTTAACCGAGTTTGAATTGATGTGCTTTTGCTGTATAGTGAAGTGTTTGTTGTTGGTGTACAGTGTGGTATCATGTATGTGCTGTTGTGGCCTGCTCTTGAGAAACGTGTGCCTGCTTTTGTATTCAGGCCACCATTGTCCGCAACCAGAAGGACACTGCGCACACAAAGGCTGAACGGAACATTCTGGAAGTAGTCAAGGTGGGCATTCTGTTCAGTCGTACCAAGCACACTTGTACACACCACAGGAGAGCAATAACATATTACAATAAATTCTGAGGCTTATTGTATTTACACAAATTATGTTCACCCATCGGAACTAAATTTGAAAACTGAATTGAAGGGCTCGACATAAGTTCGAAGTGAAAAAAAGTACCACCAGTAGCTGTGGTACAGCAACGAAAATGGTGATGCTGTGATGTGTTGCAACATTACGTTTGCTTTTTATCTATATCTGTTACATATAATTCCGTGCTTTTCTTTTAAAGAACTTTCATTTTGTTTTAAACTTCTGCCAAATTCATTCTAACGAGAGCTCATCCTTATTAAAAGAGCGGTTCCTCAGTTGATTTATCCTCCAAAACTGCCCTGTGGGCTATTTTTGAGGCAGACAACTTTGATATAACGTATATTTGCCACGAACAATCTAGGAATTTCGCCCCGTATTTTGGTACAAGCGTGCATCTTCCGCAGGTGCCCCGCCGCTGATGAAGCGCGAAGCGGCAGCGGCGTGCACGGCGCAGCAGGCAGCAACACTACGCTTGTTGAATGCAATGCAATGAACGCTGTGGCGAAAATTTTTAATATTATACCAAGTAAAGCTGGCAGGCAACTCTCTCGGATTCGATATCGCGGAACTTCTACAAAACGCTGGTGTGAGCAAATACGGCCGCTCCAGGGAGAAGTGCTCTTTTCACACAGTCCCTTCGCATTGAAAGCGCACGGATACTTGCCGAGATAGCGAGCGTGCCAGTGATCGCGACCGCCCTTAATATCAAAGTTCATTGTAGCCGAGTGATCCACCCCCTCACCCAGCATTTTTTCATGCTCGTTTAAGACTTGTGGTTTCTTTTCTGTTTGAGTGTTTGACAACAGTTCTAACATGCAGGGAATGTTATCTTACGTGTCTTCCAGACGATAGAGATGGGCCGACCCATTTGATCTCTGCTTCGGCAACGCTTGCACGTTTTTGTCCGCTTGTGAAAGTTACGATGCGCTGGGGCGTGTTATCAATTTAGACTAGTTAGGGAATATGGCGGCAAAGGCAAGGACCCGCCGAGAGTGTCTATATAATTGATAGCAATGGTAACGTAGTTTTTGACTGCTAAATAAGAGGTTTGGGTGAGCTCTGCATTCAATCTCCTTTTTGTTCAATTTATTTCGTTTATTTTCCAAATTTTCTTACCAAACCTGCATATAACGCAATCTTCTTTGTAACAAACTTTTCTGGAAATTTGCCCATTTTTCGTTATATTCAAGTTTAACTGTACTTACTTCGTTGCTAACTTTTTTCATTGTGGCATTCAGCTATTCATTAGTAATTGATACAATCTGCCCTCGGCTCTCCCTATACTCATACTAAAAGCCTCTACTTTCTCGCACTCGACTTTCCTCGTGCGCTTTTGGTGCTAGAGCTTTTCTAAGATGCCAACTGAAGTTTTGTTATGTGCTGTGTGGAAGCAAGTGTTGGCAAGGCAGCCAGGTGTAATTCCTTGGTATTTTTACTCATGGCTACCCATTCCAGAAGGACTGGGGCACCTTAAATGTCTTAATAGTTTCTTTTTTTCAATAATGTTTAAGTGTAGTCCTGAGCGTCATTTAATTCTTATGGTAATCTTTCATGCTCGTTTTTTAGCTTTGTCCCCCTGCATGAATGAAATGGTTGTGTAAATTGTGTGCAGCACCCCTTTATAGTGGACCTCATTTATGCCTTCCAAACGGGTGGCAAGCTGTACCTCATCCTGGACTACCTTAGCGGTGGAGAGTTGTTCATGCATCTAGAGCGAGAGGGCATATTTTTGGAAGACACTGCTAGGTAAGTTTTCACTCTGGTGTAGTCGCAGGATGGTTTACGTTTGACTATGAAATTTCATCTTGTGCATGCAGCGCACAGTATGCATTAAGAACAGTAGAATAGATGAATATCGTCTGTAGCGTGCGTGTTAACTTCGTCTGAAGAACCTTACGCCATCGGCACACGAATGCATTAACTACAACAAAAGAGCTGTCAACTCATGTGTACGTAGCACTAGGACTACTGCTTTCAACCGGCATTGGTGTAAGAAGACGAATGGCTATTGGCCTGCACTATAAATTCACTGACCTGAATGTTGCCATGGCTGCTGTATTTTAGCATCTTTCCTTCCGATCGTTCCCCGCTAAACATCCCTGCCATTTTGGCAGCCATCTCAAAAGTTCTTGCAAAAAGCGTGGTGATTTCTTGCATTGAAAACAGTGAATTATAGTTGCCAACCATTTGCGGGGACTCGTTGAAAACTTCTGAAAAGTCTGAATACTCAGGAGTTCGGAAAAAAAGATTTATGAGGAAAAAAAGCACCTTTATTGGCCACAGGCGAGAAAAACTTGTCTCCAAAAAAGCATGATCACGGGCGACCAAGTCCTAGTAGCCCCTCTGGTGGAGGTTAGGCCTTTTCACATGCTAATAGACACCCTCTGTATTCTCACAAATGAATTAAACCACGTTTGCAATGAACTCGCTCCATTCAACCGAAGCTAGTTCCTCATCATTCCTGGCTAGTAGCGCAGCACGCCACTTGCTCTGCTCTCGCTGTTGCATGCTGGACTGTTTGCAGTCCAACTCTGCGTGCATTTGTGCATTCTTCGTGCATGCTTCACTCTGGATCGTGCTTGAGTGCGGTGAGTAGCCTGTTTGTTGAACACGACGAAGAAATTGCATTGTACAAGCAATGCACAAGTGGCCTCGCACGACGCGGCGAACAACAACATGATGCGCTTGCACCATCGTCACTCCACGCAGTTTAAACATGTGCAAATCAGCAGATATCTGCAAATTACTGTGATAAGGTTGTCGGCAATTACCGTATTTACTCCCATAATCGGCGCACTCGCATAAGGCGCACCCCTAGTTTGGTTGCGGAATATTCTATCTTGTACAACTCCGTGCATAATAGGCGCACCCCGAACTTGGCCGCGATCAGAAACGATTCTACCCTCCAACGGCACAGTTGGAGCGCAGTCCCCATATCCTAAAGAAAAAAAAGAAGGCAAATCGACGAGAAAAAAAAAAAAAAGTGCAATGACCTAACCAACGTGTTTGTCAAAATAAAGCTTGAAAAAAAATAAAAGTGTCCATAAGGGGAAAAAAAGGAGAAAAAAACCCCACTGTTCTATGAATTGCTTGTACTCCCAAAATCGCCGTGCTCCTTGGAGGTCACGTGTACAATGCCGGGGGCTCGATTGCCATCACCACTATCAGAGAAAGAAAAAAACACCATTTTTTCAAGTGGTATGCGTATGTTGTGGTTGTGTATTCAACTTTGGTTCCATCATGGGGAAGTACGCAAGCTACATGGCTTGTTTTAAACTGAAGGCAGGGGAGTACACGCTGCAGCATGGCAACCGGGCTGCAAGCAGGCATTTCGGTGTTGGAGAAGCCAGTATTCGGTACTGGAGGGATCAAGAAAAAAAAACTTAGGAAAACGAAGAAGTCACGACGGGCTTTCCACGGTGCCAAGACCGGCAGGTATTCGAACCTCGAAAAGCAACTGGTCCGGCATATATAGGAGCTACAACAAGACGTCTGTGCTGTGTCATTGGATATTGTGCAGACTAAGGCGCGCAGAATAGCCTGAGCACAGCGCATCAAAGCAAAATAGTTCAAAGCCAGCTCTGTATGGACAACTCTTTTCATACGGTTCCATGGCCTTGCACTGTGAAGGCGGACCACCTTGTGCCAGCCCTCGCCCGTAGCATATGAGGACGATAGGGTGGACTTCCACCGTTTCGTTATAAAGCTCCGACAGCAGAAAGACTTCATTTTGTTTGAGATCGGTAACGCTGATCAGACCCCCCTTTGCTTTGATATGTCGGGGAACAGGACAGTGGAGGAGAAAAGTTCACGGAGTCATTGTCAGAGCGTCTGGTGCTCATAGACAACGATGCTTCATAATGCTGGAGGTGACATCGGATGGGCGCAAGCTACCTTTATGTTATTTTTAAACATAAGACACTTCCAAAGGCAAATTTCCCTCAAGGCATCTACGTCAGAGTCCCGGAAAAAGGCTGGATGAGCGCGTAACTCATGTTGGATTGAGTGAAAACAGTCTCAGGTTGGCGGCCGGGTGGTCTGTTGTTCCGGTCCATGCTTGTCCTGGACAGTTTTCATAGGGACCTAGTAGACCGCGTACGAGATGAGCTAAAGGAGCTGCGCACAGGTCTGGCAGTGATTCCGGGTGGCCTCACATTGATACTGCAGCCTTTGGACATGTCCTTGAATGAGCCTTTCAAGGACGATGTTCAAAGGCTGTACACCACCTGAATGGCTGGAGGACATCAGCTGACTCCAGGTGGTAAGATTAAGAGGCCGCCAGTGGAAATGCTGTATGCTTGGATCGTGGAACTGTGGCAGGCGATCTCCGACGAAGTCGCCAGGAAAAGCTTCAAGAAGACGGGTATCTTGAACGCACTGGATGCGAGTGAGGATGACTTGTTGTGGGGTGCGGATGATTTGGACACCGAAAACGAATCCCCGCTTGGCGAGGATGAATGTGTGCTCTCCGTCTTGGACTCCGAATGGGGAAAAGGAGGCACACCTATGACTTTTGTGAAAATAAATTTTATGTGTGTGTGTGCAGTTGATGGCTCTAGTTTGTTCATTAAAAGTTACATAGGTATGTTTGTTTTATGCTGAATTAATCAGTAAACGAAAAAGTAACCCTTTACTTGACAAATGTTCAGATTTAAAGCGCGAGAACTGAGTAAAAAAATTTTCAAAAATTTTACCCCGCATTTTTGATGGAGGCAGAAATGCTATAGGCCCGTGTGCTCAGATTTGGGTGCACGTTAAAGAACCCCAGCTGGTCAAAATTTCCGGAGCCCTCTTCTACGGCGTCTCTCATAATCATATGGTGGTTTTGGGACGTGAAACCCCACATGTCAATAGAAAATTTTACCCCGCGTAATTGGCGCAACGCAATCTTCGGGCCGGATTTTCTGAAAAAAAAAAAAAAAAAGTGCACCCATTATGCGAGTAAATATGGTAGTCAAAATGACACTCATCGCAACTCGCCACCTTGCTCTTTTCTAATGTTTATTCGTTAAGCCACTGCCGCAATCACGTGAAAGTCGTTATCATTTATCAACTGGCATTTGCCATTGCCGAAAGGTGGAAGACCTTTCGGTAATGGCAGATGCCAGTTGATTGTGGCATCAGCGAGTAGAGCTCCGCAGTGAACATTTATACGACAATAAGTTTTGCTTCTTGCACATATGGCTTGTTTGCGTTTGAAGACAGTGTTTGGTTAATTGTCAATGGTCTTGGATGTAGAGAATGGCGTCAGAAAAGTTCACTATGCGATAGCTGACAAGCACTTATACTGCCTCTTAATATTTTTTTATTTTTTCGCACTGCCATTCTGCTAGTGAAAAAAAGCCTGGAAAGTGAACGAGCTCCCTTGCAGTGCCCAAAATATGCATGCAGTGCTCGCCGCAGTCTATGATATCATATGATATCGTTGTTGCGAGTAAAATGCAGCAAAGCACACACGAGGAAGTGCTTCTTGCATGCTTTATAATACCTGTTGTAACTTTTTTTTGCTTCACATGGGCTATATTTTTACCATGACTGTGTTGAAAGTGTTAGTTGTAAAAGTGGGAGGCCTTGAAAAACAATCGTTGCATGTGGATGCCGTTTCAATGTGTAGCTTGGGAAAATCGTAAGCACACTGAAATATGGTTGTTATAACTGATAGATCATTATATCTGGGATCGTTATGAGTAGGTTCGACTGTACTGTAATTTTACTGTGAAATTTATTTAAGATCACAAGGGTCGCGTACGCTGCAGTTGTCCGCCGTTGGTGTCCGTGGCCACTATTGCGCAAAAAAAAAAAAAGTAAATGAGAAACACCAAGAATGCAATGGGATTTGAACCCGGGTCCTCTGTGTGCCATCCCAGTATTCTACGACAGGACTTGAAACTCTGTACAAGCTGGCCTTAGGCTGGCTTGATGTCTGGAAGGGAATTGCATTAATATGCGTAATAAAGCGTTTCAGAACAGCAAATGAATTACCAGGCTTTACGCAATGTGAATTGCATAACAAGTAGGCCATCGAATGCTTCAACCAGCTACAAAAGCTTCAGGCATAATTCTTCGTTAGCCAGAAAATAAAAAAAAATTGCACAATATTTCTTGCCAGTGTGTAGCGGGTACCACACTTCGTGGAATAATAACCAGGGATAGCCTAGTGAATGCCTCCCCACTGCACAAAAATTATAGTGGGTATCATGCACGTGTGCTTGTAGCAGTTACATAAAGAGTGTTGAAAAAAGACTGTGAAAGGCCGCTCTTCCACCTTTGGCTGTAACTGCGCTGCGTATTCTGCGCAGGCCTGGCATCGTTTTTTTTATCACATACACTTCCAGAAGTTTCACTAAAATGTGTCATGTTGGCTTTCTTTCCCTTTTATTATAGTCCTATGTGTGAATATCTGAGTAATGAATACTTATTTTGTGACTGGTGTATTCTGTGTTAAAAATATTTTCAGGTCAATCAACCTTGCAAATTTCACAAAAAAAAAAATGAATTCGAGAAAATAACTTTGGTCCATATAAGGTGCAACTGACATGATGTGGTGCTCTGTTTAAAAATCAGCTTTATACCTCAATTGAAACCAAAGAAATACTAGGTCTTCTGGTGTGGCAAGTTATACTATTACAATTTTTGAAATGACCACATTTATAAACTTCTTTTCGATGTCATGTGGCACGCTTCATGTGCTATCTGATGTCATCTGGCAAAAAAAAAGTGTTCAACCCTTGAAGTCGTGGCTAAGAGTGGTGCCGATGAGCACTCCCATGCTTGCGTGCACCTGGTGAGGGGACGAGAGGACGACCGCTGCCATAGCTCAATTATATGGGCATCTGAGACATAATCCAAAGGTGGCAGATTCAGTCCCAGCTGGCGGAAAGTTGACTTTTCGTCCTCTTCAATATCTTCAAATCTATGTCACAATTATATCGCAAAAGTGCACTTAAAAAAGTACAATTAATATTCCCCATACCTTCTTCGGTTTCATTATCAGCTTGTTTTCAATAAGATTGTCATATAAATTGCAGTAAGTTGTGTTGTACAGTGTAGACCATTTATATTGTAACAGCTTACAGTCCCGAACCGGTTACGACATAGTCTTTTTCGACTGTCGCTAACCCTCGCATAGGACCCCATGTAGTATACGCATGCTGCCTATTGTGCAGTCCCCCAAGGTGAAAGACCTGTTATAATGCGAGGGCCGAAAGATCTTGGTGGCAAACATGGTAGCGAGTGCGCATCTGAAAAGAGGTGTGCTATGTGTGCCGCTGCGGAGTGAGCAACGAGGTCGTTACGAAGGTGGAAGGAAGAAAGGAGAAAAAAGTCACAGCCTTGCCGGAAACGCGCGGCAATGAATGTGATAGCAACAAATTGAAAGGTCACGTGCAGAATGGACAGCAGATCCAAGCGTGCCCCGCGTTTCTCATGCACAAATGACGCACAAAACGTACTCACAGGTACGGATGCACACAGATGTCTCATCTGTTACTTCGCTGTGTCTGAAAAGTGTGCGTTTTTCGCAAACTGAGACTGCAATGATTGCAGTGACCTTCGTGCGCCAGGTAACTACATCAAAATAGTTCCAGTTAAAGCCCAAGGCCAGCCGAGACTTTTGATCCTCCCTCCTCACCCCCGCAAGATAAGGGCGCACGAGGTAGTGTCGCTCTTCTTCTCTTAGCTGGGCAAAGTACACGTAGGAGATTGGAGCGGGCGCAGCCGCGCGATGTGGCGACGTGCCCTCATTGCGGCATCTTGCTGGTAATGCTAAAAACATACAGCTGAATCCCGATAATTCGAACTTGAAGGGACCCGAAAATTAATACCAATTAAAAGAAGTTCAAATTAATGAAAGCTAAGTAAACGGAGGGCTCTCCATGCAGGGGCTAATGTTCATTGAGCTAACACACGATGGGGAAATTTAAGAAGACTTACATTTATTCACAAATCACACGGCATCCGTTATTAATTAAAGTAATCGGTGATGCGTGTCTGTACACATTTGCATCGCAGCGAGTCTACGAATTTCGCACGCAGCTTGCAAAGCATTTCTACTTCGACTTCAGCATTCTCCTGGCAAGAAAAGTTGCATGCGAAAATGTCCAGCGTCGATACTTTCTAAAGACTACGATAACGACCGCTGCGTAGCAGAGCCTCCCGCTTTCTGCTACGCCGCTCTCCGCTACGCAGCCGCAGCATGGCTAGCATGTGACGAGAAAGGAGGAGCGTCTCCACGCGGAGAGAAGCAGATTGGTATTTGAGAGAAAAATCGACCTTTTCTCTCTCTCTCTCTCTCTTTTTTTTTTTTTTTGCTCTCCGCACTCGTCTTTAAAAGGAGAAGGGTTACGTGGCAGGGAAGGCAAAAGGGGAAGCGTAGCACCGGTGCGGGAGATACACCCCTCCCCCCCCCCCCCCCTCGAGGCTCAGAGTCGTGCTCCCGCAAGGGGCAAGGGCTGCAGAAGATAGTGCCTTTTTCCTTTCCTTCAACCACACATTCATTCACCCAGCGACGGCTTTCTTTTTTTTTTCCTCTCTTTCTTCCCGCGCTGCGTTGGAAGGAGGAGGGTCCTTGTGTGCCAGGGACGGAAAAGGGAGAGGCGTGACTCGGGCGTGTCGCAGATCGGCATTTGAGAGAGAGCAAACATTCCACCGCAGCCTTTTCTTTCCTTTTCATTTCCTTCGCGGGCAGCGTCGAGGTGTTGCAGGTGCCGCGGCTGGATTGGGCGGGGTGCTGAGAGCATTTTCGGAGCGGGGTATGTTCAAATGAACTGTCAGAAGTGCTTGGCCATTCGAATTACCGGGTGTTTTTGTCCATTGGAATACACATAGCTTTGACAAGACCTCATCGTGAGTTCGAAATTACCGAAAGTTCGAATTAAGCATGTTCGAATTAATGAGATTAGACTGTAATTCCCCCTGTGATGCTCGTGAGCAGCGGTAAGTGGTAGATATGAATAACTTGCCGTTTGGTTAACGCCTCGCTTTCACGACGCAAAGGTCCTACGTTCGATCCTGCGCGCAAGAGTGTTTGTTTTTTTTCTTTCTTGCATTTTCATATATGTATAGATACGTGTAAATATACAGCAAGTGACGGCGGCGCCGGCGCCGGTGGCAAAATCCAGCCGAGAATGTCCATATGATTGCTATCGCAATAAAAAGACTTGGGCACGCTGCATGGAGCCGCTGAGTAAGGAAGGAAGGCGGTTGCCTCTGTGACTAATAACGACCTTTGCACAAGCGCCGAAGCGGCTATAGTTTACTAGCATCACTAGCGTGGCTCTGGCTGTGTGCGGCTCAACATGGCATGTGTGATGTTCTTTTCAACTGCGCCTAACAGTTTCCTACTGGCAAAAGCGGGGTCGTTATCGAGCTTCCTAGACATCGCATTTGCTACATCGTCCTTACGTCTTTATGATGTCAGCTTTCGCCTTTGCTGCGAGTGAGTTCAGAAGCTGCAGGTTTTCATCATTGTTGATTTCCCGGCCGCAAACGCGAACTTCGTATAACTCGTGCTGTTCCTGGTTCATTGCGCTATGAGTGGCCTATACTGTATTTTATATTTTTAATTATTTTAGCCATTCTCAATGTTGTTAAGGGTAATACAGAATTTTAACAAGTAGCAAGCTCAGCTGAACTAGTAATTCCTGCTCATTGGAGCCACGGAAGCACTGTCAAGCTGTGCCTACTTCACACAGTTACACATGTCATGACATGTTTTTGTAGCCTCCTTTTCACCGGCATTCTAGAAAGTGATCTGCAAGTGTCCGAGTAAGCTGTTGGTGCAGTCATTGTAGGTAATTAAAGGAGCTCACGCCTTAGTGCACATTCAGTGGAAGCATGTGCCTGGTTTTTTTCAATGCAATAACGTTAAAGAGCTCGTTTTGCAGAAATTTCGCCATCGGTGTTATTGGTAGTGACTCGTGAGCAAAAAATCATCTTGTGCGTAACCAAAAATTGAGAAAGATGCAAATAAAATACTTAATGAAAAATTCTGAATCCTAGTGGGGATCGAACTCGGGTCGTTTGCCTGGCAAGCGGGTGTTCACCAAACAACCACTCGTCTGCTTGTGAATACAGTGAAAATAACTTCCTCTGCTTGGAAATGCAGTGAAAGTAATTATCATGCTTTACAAACACGTGTGTTCTGTAGAAATGCTTCACAATACAGTATGAAATATTGCATGCGTGGTACAAGCATTCATTGCCAGCAGGCGCCAAAATATGTGATTATCATAATGGCTCCATGGCTGAAAGCACGTACCCCACTACAAAATGCACACAGGTTACTGCACCTATTTCCTTAAAGCATGTAATATGTGCATAGCAAGTTCGAAATCATATCATGCACTAAATGTTAGAAGTATGCACTATGGACAAGATATCGCTGTCGCATTCAACTCTTAAAGGCGAAGTTTAAGGATTCCCCAATTTTCGTTTTCAATCGGTGTTCATTTTGATTTTTTGCAGCTTCTACCTGTCGGAGATAGTGCTTGCGTTAGAGCACCTTCACCGTGAAGGCATCATCTACAGGGACCTCAAACCCGAAAATGTCCTGCTCGATGCACATGGTGAGCTCATAGTCGCCACTCTGACTTGACTGTGTACACGTTCAGTAGCGTCGCGCATGGCTTCAGAGTGCGAAAACAAAATCATGGCCCTGCTTCGTTGCCACTACCTGCCTATAAAATGCCCGTTCTGTTCTGTTGGAATTGTTTCTCTTGCTAGAAAGACTGCAATGTTGGCAAACAGCACTATGGTATTCTAGATTATTTAAACTGCATAAGAACACACTATCTCTCCACTTTCTGGCAAAGGCTCCTACAGTAGACTGCCATTGTCACAAGAGCACTTTGGTTTTGCATCCAATCTTTTAAAACGGGCAATTTCAACGGTGGTACTCAGATTTGAGTGCACGTTAAAGAACCCCAGGTGGTCAAAATTTCCGGAGTCCTCTACTACGGCATCTCTCATCATCAAATAGTGGTTTTGGGACGTTAAACCCTACAATTCAATCAATCAATTTCAACGGTGGGGCTGTTTGTTGGTCCGGGCTTGAAGACAGATGAGCGTCCGCACTGTGTGTCGTGCTCTGGTTCTCGCATGCACCTGTAGACGCCCTAGCTGTGGCAATCGAGGCGGTAGGGAAACAGTGAAACAGAGAACAAGCAACTTGAGAGTGACTATGGACGTAAGTTGCTGTGTGTGACCTCTGCACCTCTACTACAGTCGAATCTTGATAATTCGAACTTGAAAGGGCCCGAAAATTTGTTCGAAATAAAAGGAGTTCGAACTAATGAAAGATAAATAAAAGGAGGGCTCTCCATGCAGTGGGCCATGTGCATTTAGCTAACACAGGAGGGGGAAGTTTCCCAAGAATTACATTTATTCACAAATCACGGGACATCCGTTATTAATTGACGTAATTGGTGATATGCATCTGCACACGTTTGCTTTGCAGCGAGTCAATTTCGCACGCAGCTTGCAAAGCATTTCTACTTCGGCTTCAGCATTCTCCTGGCAAGAGAAGTTACGCGCGCAAATGTCCAGCGCCAACACTTTCTAAAGATGACGACAACAACTGCGTAGCGTACGCAGCCGCAGCACGGCCAGCAGGTGACGAGAAAGAGAAAGGAGGAGCGTCTCTACGCGGAGAGAAACAGATCGGCATTTGAGAGCAAACCAACGCTACATGGCAGCTTTTTTTTTTCTTTGCTCTCTTTGCGCGCATCATTTAAAGGAGAAGAGTTATGTGGCAGGGACGGAAAAGGGGGAAGCGTAGCACCTACGTGCCAGACCCCCCCCCCCCCCCCCCCTCAAGGCGCAGAGCCGTGCTCCCGCAAGGAGCAAGGGCTGTAGAAGATAGTAGGGAGTTTTGGTGCTGGGTACCCAAGCGGCTTGCGTACCCAGGACGTTGGGGCGATGGTATTGCGCATGGGCGAAACCCCAAACAGATGCGTCGCAAGATCGCTGAGGCGATGGGGCCATGCGTCCGCACGGTCCACCTTCGCAAGAACTCACGGTATCCGCACTGCGGATACTCTAGTCGTCGAGTTAAAATAAGCCAAAGTGCGAGCACTTATAGCGATTACACGGTTTCGGCCAGATTTACAAAGCTAGAATGGCCTGGAACATAGAAACTGAAAAACATATGCCAGCCCCCGACCAGCTGAATAGGTGGCGCCATCTAGCGTGGCCATAGTGAAACAGACAACCACAACTTTGTTATCGCAGAAACATTGTGCATTGTACATCTGGCGCAAAAACTGCGCAGCAACAATATTACGAATGAGTAACCTTTTTATTCATTTTCACCTCAAAAACATTACACGTAAGCTAACATGTTCATGACTGCGGTTGCACGGTGTCACAAGATGTCGACACTGTCGTTACGGTAACCTTGTATTTTTCACTTTTTTGCGTATACCAGATTACTGTACACAATAAAAAAAGTGTCCTGATCACTATGTATGTTTAATTTAACATTTTAGATCATAAAAAGACTTGAATAATACTTACGCGACAAGACGCTGTGGCGCTGCGAGCGCGTGTGAACTTCGTGCGGCTTGCGTTTGCGTGTGTGCCACCAAGGCGCCAACTAAAACGCATTCCGGTTGGGTATGGGTTGAGCACGCAACGCCGCGCGCTCCCAAGCCCGCAACGCCCCAAGAGAATGCGTACCCAGCACTAAAACTCCCTAGTGCCTTTTTCCTTTCCTTCAACCACACATTCATTCAACCCAGCGACAGCTTTCTTTTTTTTTTTTCCCTGCTCTCTCTTCGTGCGCGGTGTTGGAAGGAGAAGGGTCATTACGTGGCAGGGACGGAAAAGGGAGAAGCGTGACATGGGCGCGTCGCCGATCGGCATTTGAGAGAGAGCAAGCATTTCACTGCAGCCTTTTCTTATAATTTCTTTCGCCCGCAGCGTTGAGGTGGCGCAGGTGGCGCCACGTAATTGGGCGGGGTGCTGAGAGCATTTTCGGAGCGCGGTATGTTCGAATTAGCCGTCGCAAGTGCTTGCGCGTTGAAATTGGCGGGGGTTTCGGCCCATTGGAATACACATAGCTTTGACGAGACCTCATCGTGAGTTCGAATTAACCGGAAGTTCGAATTAAGCATGTTCGAAAAAATGAGATTCGACTGCATAAAAGTGGAACTTCAATTGTACATCCCCCGGTTTCATTGCGACCCGCATTGTGTGACTAATTGATTTGGTCTTTGCAAAGTCCTTATAGAAGTAATGTATTAAAAACCTTAGTTATATGATGCAGTTTTACGCAGACCCCGCATCTTACGACGTTCAGATTCTGTCTGAAAGAAAAAAACACTTTACTCAAATAGAACATCCACCAAACATTCACAAGTGCAAAATATGAACTTGTGTTACTCTCGGTTGATGATTAGAAAAGGGAAGTAAAGGGAAGAAAATGGAAGTTTTCCTGTATCTTTCCAGAAATAAAATCTGTTCATTTCATTTCAAAAAAAAAAAAAAGAGAGGGAGAGCGGATGTCTTAATCGCATGCATGTCATGCATGTCCAGCATCGTTACCTAGACAAGCTCTATCCTCACAGAATAGCTTCAGCTGGCCGAAAAGCTCATCTCTAAGACCCCGATATTGTCATGTTTTCGGGCTGATCATCATACAGCTGATCACCTACCTTTGTTTGTGGCACTCGCATTGACAGGCCTTGAGCACGCAAAAGGGCATGATGCAGCTAATTTCACCGTGCAAGATCACTTTCACCTGACGTCAACTTTCATTATAATAGCGGGACATCACTACTTGCACTTCGCAAGGCAACAAATTACTTGGCGCATAGCTTAGTCCCACACGAAAGCATGCTATGAAAGCTTTTGGTCTGTCGCCACAATGTGATGGTGACGACACGGTGTCTGACTCTTCTGATGGGAGGCTGCTGCAAGTGTGGTTTCAGTTGAATTTTCACACGCAGGCATTATTTGGGCTCAATCGGGAGAAAGGTGTGCATTGGATTCGATTTTACAAGTGCAGAATGAAGATTCACTCGCATATCTTTCAATTTAGTAATGCTGGCATTGGCAAGAATAATTATATATAGCATATTTTATTTACTCACGTAATGAACTGACTTTTATTAGAAACCAACCTCCCGCTTTGTTTCATGAAAAAAACTTTTTATTTTATCTGTTCATTTTATTTCAGAAGGATAGCAGTGTCTGATACTTTAAATAATGTAAATCAGCCATTGTATCACAAGGCGACGATGCAGTAAATGTTGGGAACAGTTTAACAAACATGCTAAACAGTTGCGAGCAGTGCGAGTGCGACTGATATGGGTGAAAATTTTAAAAACTGATCTTTTGTAGCGAATTGCCATCTATCAAACGCAGAAGAAACCTCCTTGCTTATAGCATCACAAAAGCACAGTGGCATGAAAACAAAGGAAAACACAAAGAGCAACCGCGCAAACAGGTGCAACCGCAATGTGCTCGCAGCCAATGTGTACCCGCAACGTGCTTGTGCTGCTATCTGACGCAGCGTTCTTATTGTCGCCAGGGCGCCTCTACACTAGCGTACAAATTAACATTGCCATCGAAACACCCTAGTTGTCTGGTTCTCACAGAGAACTTCGTTTGATGCCTGCGCCTGCTCCTTAAGGTACATTGAGTCGGTGCGCTGGCTACATTGCTGGCTTTAAACTTTCAGTTAGTTGAACATGCGCTGGAGCATGGCGACTGAGTGACTGGATTGATACTTCATCATTGATCTGTGTGTGTTTCTTACTGGATAAAACAAGGGAAAAAGCTTCGGGCCATAAAAAAATATTCACGCATTTTGTGACCCTAAAAATGTTTCCTCTTGTGGAGAGGGAAGTTCTCAAATATATTGAGAGGCTCCGCAGTCGAGGCATTTTTGCCTCTGGCCTCAAGGCCAGGAGTGATTGGACAGCGAGTTTCTCAATACTACCACGCAAAAATGACTCTTTTACTATTTTTACCAAATTTCAACGGGCGCCCAATTCCAATGTGCACTGGACTTGCACGACCCCAAAACAAAAATACAGCTATACAGCTATGGCACAGTTTAAACGCCTGTACTGATTACCATGCGTGTGTGGCGTATAAGGTTCTTTTCAGCTGTGGCTGCTTCCACAATAGATTGGTTGTTCTATTAACCTGAATATAGTGAGCATGTGATTTTAAGGTAGTTCATTTTTCCCAAAGAAAGGTCTGTGTTGGAATTGGGTAACTACGATAACTCCCGCCATATTATTTTCTCTTCTAATGAACGCTCCCTGAAATTAGTGCCAAGTTTTTGAAAAAAAGATGGGTCCATTACGCGAGTAATTACGGTACCTTCCTTGCAGAAGCACAAGGTCAGGCCGTAGGCTTATGCAGGCAGTCTGTACCCGTTTATTGGGCAAGGCTGAGCATCACTGCCTATATTTTTAGTTTTTTTTAATTATACGACACCCAGATTATATGGTGGTTTTGCATGGTCCCCTGAAAGTTGTATGATCAGGATTTCACTATATGTAACATAATTGCAGACATGCTCACAAATTCACAAAAACATCACAGAAAATTGCAAGGGAGACAGAGGAGAATCATAGCTCCGCTGTTTCTGTAGATTTCTCACTATGTAGAACTGGCTTAGGTTTTTATAGTGACTATTTGGGGATATATAGCTGCACATTAAAAGTGAGTTAATTTAGAAGAGGAAAACGGTTGCAGTAGCTTGGTGACTCGCTGAACCGATAATAGAACAACTGCAAGAGGGGGGAGGGGGTGATATAAAGGAGCACTTTTGTCCAGATTGAGATGTGCGATAAAAGGAGGCTGTGTGCTCAAAAATGGTCGGAAACCCCCACTATGGCATGCCTCAGTATCACTTTGTGGCTTTGACATAGAAATGAATATTAAGTGGGAAGGAACATTGTTGGCCATTGCATCCAGGTTCTGTTCATTGAATGTCAAGAGCAAACCCTTGAGTGCTGTTTCTACAGCTACTTTAACTGTGCTATTTCGCCTCATTCATTGCTCTTTATAGGCCACGTGAAGCTGACAGACTTTGGACTTTGCAAGGAGTCAATCCAGGACGGTGCTATGACGCACACATTTTGTGGCACAATAGAGTACATGTGAGTGGCGACCATCTTGTTTTTTTGCTGCTGACATAGCTGGGCCCCCTTGTGTCAACCTTAATTATGTTCTGTTTATTGAATAAAGTGAATGGTTTGTCATTATAAATGGTAATGGCATGGCAGTGATTTTTTCAAGGTTTGCAGTCGCATGTCTTCTACATGGCAAATTATAGCTATGGCCTTCTGTTGAGCAGGGGCAGAGGCTTCTCTCCCTAGAAAGTGCCATGCATTTTGTCTGCTTGCTTGTGACTCCTGGGCACATCGAGTCCGAGCATGATTTGCGACTGGTCAGGCTAATGAAAAGTAGCTGTGAAGTGTCCGAGGTGCTGTCATTTTCTATGTCAATTATTATAACGCTTGGTATTGCATCTTGTGGTCGGGAGAAAGGTGTGCCAGATTCCTACTTCTTTTTCAACATTCTTATGTCGGTATTGAACAAGTAGGCTCCGAAATCTTTTTGTAGTGTCATGTGTTCTGCTGGCCCTTATTGTCAACTGCAAAACAAAAGTAGCGAAAATCATAATTGCTATAAATATTGCTGTATTTTTTGGTGCAGAAGTCGGACCTTTGTATATAAGACGCGCCCCTACTTTTACAACTTTCGCAGTTTAAAAGGATATATTACACCTTTGTATAAGACTCCTATTTCTCACATTGTAAATGTCATAAAATAATGAAATGTGTAGTCACACACAGTCATGAATGTCTCCAAGCAGCAGTATAAAACTGGTAAATGACTCTGTCATAAGGGGCAGAAAACCAATGTTTATTCCTCAAGATCCAAAACCACATTCGTGAATGCGCTGTTAAAAGTTCTTCCGCTTCTTGCCTCAGTTCATGGCTTCAGGGGGTTTACGTTGTCAGCATCTGAGTAACTCTCTTAAGCGATGTTGAAAGCGATTTCGAGCACGTTGTTGGTGTTGTTACTACTGCATTACGAGGCTTCGTGGTAACACACAAACAACAATCACACCTCACATTTCACACCTACACACACAATATACAAAACGTGAATGACGATTGGATGTTGGAGCCAGCGACTACTGCAGGACTGGAGCACTGCCTCATGTGGAAACTAACGGTAAAAGCAAAGCGGTACTTTTGTTTTTGAACTGGTATTGTGGGTGCTACAATGTTGCAAGGAAACTTTGTGGCACCGTTCTTTATTTATTGCCCCCATTCTGTGGGTTTATTGATTGGTTGAAGGACAAGTAGTTTGAGCAGTACCATAGTTGGCGTATTGCGGCCGTAATCTCTGTGGTCGCCACACTGCTTGAATATCAAGTCACCACCATCTAAGACCACACCCGCTTCATTGCTCTAGCAATCTTTTGATGAAGGCTTTCGCGCTCAGTTTATAGAACTCCCAAATGAAATATTGACATAGTAGTCTCATTGAATTGCACGACTTCTTGCGTATATGAGACGCATCATTCATAAGACGCACCGATGAAAAATGACAAAAAAAAAGTCTTGTACAGTTAAACCCCTTTATAAGGCATGCTCCAGGCAGCCATTCTTGTCTTTTATATAAGATGCCTCTTATAAGCAGGGTACCTAGTATGCATTTTCTTATCAACTCGTTTTTTATTGTATACACACCGGTGTCTCTTCTACCCATTTGTCTATTATATCAGTGTCTCTATTAGAAGGGTTCGACTGTACTCCGGAAAGTATGGTACTATTGTAGGCACTGATGAATTGTCACAGTCTACACAGAAGTTCATCACGGTCCTTAGGTGCATGCGCTTGTGATTGCGCAGTTCATAAATGCAGCAATCTTTTTAAGACTGAGGTTTCACAGGTAGAGGCAGGTTTAATTAACATGCCACCTCAACCGGAAATATGTGTACAAGGTTGTGATTAACATAAGGAACGCAGTTGAATGCAATAGTTTTAGTCATGTTTGGAAATCGTGCACTGTGGTACATAATGTGCAAATCTTAGATAGGCATGTAATGCAAGCACTTGCTGCACACTTTGCTGAGAGCCAGCGAAGATTCAGCAAACTTAAATTGAGTGGGTACGACAGCTTGAAGTGCATTATTTATGCTCTGAAAGAAAGCTCCGCAGCTTGCTTGTGCATGCCCTGAAGTTTCTGATTTCACCTTACCATGAATGGAACGTGCATGGCACTGTGAAATTTCATCCCCACCTACCGTATTTACTCGCATAAGTTGCGCACTTTTTTTCGCGATTTTGGGTCTCCAAGAAGAGGTTGCGCAAATTACACGGGGATTTCGCGAACACATACGACAGAATGTGCAATAGACCTAACGTGCAGTATATACACTAAAGCATAAATTGAAGCACATACGGAGTATACTTGCTAATTACACAGAATTAGAACGTACTTTAACTAGTCAGAATCAGTCATGCATGGTCTAGTCGGAATCGCCGATGGAAAGTTCAGATTGAGAATAATCGTCGCGGACGCTGTCACTGCCCTCCCAAAGCGCATCGTCCTTGGTTCTGTGAAGTGCGTTCGAATTCCCCGTTTTCTTTATCTCCACATTGCTGGAAGAAACAAATCTCACGAGATGGCGATACCAAAGGACCTAAGCATTCACATATGATTCAAAGGCCTTTTTCAACAGCAGAGAACTTGTATTAGCAAGTGCATACTCTGCTTTCTCCCATACCGTTCTCTCTCCCGTTTCTCCCTCCCATACCGTTCGTCATGCGTTGCAGTTCACGCTGAAGTGCTCGGTGGCGGCATGGTTCCAGTTTTATTTGGCAAACATCACAGCAGCGAGCTTGAATTTTGCCGTTTATATATATTTACCATATGCCATCGAAAGAGAACAGTAAAAACTTGATGGACAGATGGCAAAATCCAAACTTCTGAAATCAACCAAGCATGTGTTACAGCACGGTCGGAGAGAATGAAGGGAACAGTTGGCGCGACAGGCACTCGCATGCCTCTGAGTCAGAAAGTTGTCCGTGCCGTGACGCGAGCGTATGTTCTTATGGTAGAGATCGCAGAGATAGGGGGAGGGAGGCGAAGGCTCGAGAGGTTCTGTTCTGGCGGGTATGGTGTTGTAGGGAACCTAGTTCAGAGGAAGTCCTCGGAAAAAGGGGCTTCGCACTCGCGGCCCGTTTATGGGGAGACGCTCCTCGAAAAAGTTTTTTTTTTATTTCTAGTAATAGAGACTTGAAAAGTTTGTTATTAGTATGGTTTTTCATGCAGATTTCAAATATGCAATCATTTTTCATGTAGCTGCTATAATTATTGAGTTATGCCATAAACAATAGCAAAAAGTTACATTTTTTGCGGGCACTCTATTTATGTACTAAACTTTCAGTAAAAGCACTGTGTCTGATCTTATTTGACTCTTGGTAGATTGAAAAGTGCAAATATCTATATAGATATGTCACAGAAATATTGGAACCAAGAAAAAAAAAATTGTATTGAATGACTTATTATTTTCAATCTCCCTTGAAACAATAAGCTAATATTTTCACAACTAATGCTGGTAGGCATTGCAATTTAGAGTAGATATTTGCATTCTGCATGTGTTGAAGAATATGTGTGCCAAGTTTCGTTACTATACAATGAATATAAGTTTCTAAAAGGCTGCCCGGAAAACGTGAAACTGTCAGAAAAAATGAAAATGAGAAAAACAAGTTTGAAAGTTCGCAAAGTTGGCATTTATTAGGAAATCATTCTTTTTGCATCAAATTGGGGCACAATGAAAAGTACCTTGCCTTGAATGCACTGCAAGTGTCTAGAAGTCCCCTGCACCATAGCTTGGTCCTTCACGGCTCTTGCGGTCAGTGTCCTCAACACGAGCTCTCTTCGCTGTGTTGCGACGGTGTGCCCTCGCTTCTGCAGTTTGCTTCAGGTTCATCTTCCTGATGCGCATGACGTCACAGTGGTCACCATGTGTGGCCAGATCTTGTGAGGGGAGAATTCCAATGCCTTCGAGCACTTCTTCAAAGCCCCTGTGGCCTTTGTTGTACCAGAGTACAGCAAGAGCGGTGGCTGTCTCCACAGTTGTTCTGGAGGCGAACTTTGTTTTTGGACATAGCAGCCATATCTTGCTGTTCAGCGATTCGGCTGCATTCTGTGTCTTGCCATGAAGGCACCGAATAAGGAGTTTCTCCTCTGTAAGGCGCTTGTAGATAGGCATAATTGCCAATCCTTGAGCCTTCGTCAACAGTGGGGTGTGGCGTGGTGCAGGCTCCCCCAGTGCTTCCGCACGCTTGTGCTTGCACCACGAATTTGGTCCCGCGGGGCAAAAGTTGTGGCTACTGGCACCATCACTGGAGGAGCAATGAAAATACGATGCCCATATGGCAGTGTACATATTTCGGACACTTCGGACACTGTCCTTGTTGCTCGTGATGGCGATCTTGTAATATGTTTGTAGTTTTATTATTGTCGCATCTTTCAGTTTTTCGCCTCGTGGCAGTGGCGTTGCCAATTTCCGTAGGGCAGTTCCCAAGCGCTTTGCACCGTGGTTCGTGCACTCTTCTTTGTCAATGGGGGTGTCACAGTATACATTTGCCTCGCAGACTGCAGTGTAGGCCTTGCTGTCACCATCACTTAGGAAGCTGGTGAATCGCAGTGGAGTTTCATAAGACAAGGTCCTCTGCCATATATTGACAGCTGCCGCAGGTTCCATTGCATGGGATGAGCAGTCAGTGTTTTTTTGGCAAACTGGAAGATGAAAAGCTCGCCATATCTCTTCATCCTCCCCAAGGTCCCTGTGTATACTGCAAGCATGGCAGTAGTTCGAAAGAACTTCAAAATCGAGGCAGAGCCCCGTGTCCAGGGACACGACTGTGCCCACTCCATTGTGGCTTTTATGACCTCTTTTCTGCCAGGTGCCATCAAACATGACTGGCACATCTCTGCCGCCGACTGCGTCCTTCGTGATGTTTCGTGCCTGGTGCAAGTTTTTGCTCACTGCCGTCATCGCCGCACCATGGAGCTTCTTGCAAATGCCGTTGAATGTCTTGTGATGCATCGGGTTCGGAAGAGCGAGAATCGCACAAAATCGTGAAAGTTGGTCGTGGCCCGCGCCTATAGCGCGTGCTGCCAGAACTGCCTTCACGTTTACAGCAAAGCTGTCACGCGAGCTGCCGCTGTCAAAACGAGCGCTCGTTCCTTGGTCCCCGGCCGAAGCAGTACGTCTCGACGTGTGCGTGAACGAAAGTGCAGATTCAGGGCAATCAGAATTTTGACAGCACAGTTCGAGTTATGCCAAAAGTCCTTTGCGCTTTCCAGCTGCCTCTCGCACGCCGAGCTTCCGTTCGCGGCAGGTTGGGCATTGCGCACCCGCCACAAGTGCCGTCAGCGCATCGATTTCGCAAAGCAGCATGTTCGCAGTAGCAGCATCTACCGGTCTACGTTCACTCTCGAAGAATCCAATCCTCCTTTGGGATGCACTGACGAATTCCACGGCAGCGGCTATTTCACAACCACTGTCGCAGGGTTCGGTGACGGTGTTAGGCCTATCCGAAGTCGGAGCGTCGGGGCGTTGGTCGGGGGCGACATCGTCGTTCGCTGTCGCTTTGCGAAGCGTCCGACGCCGTTTCCCTCGATACTTGTGGCGAGTTCTGAACTTTCGATTATCTGGACTGCACTTCTTCGGGCTTGCCATGACGCAAAAATGCAGAGAAACGCAGAAAAACTCGATCGCGACGTCCGAGGCTTCGCTCTTTTGCCGGAGAGATAGGAGGGGGAGGAGCGTGGAGCGCACCGCCGTCCAATGGCGGCCTCGCGCTGTGTGCCGCGATATTCAAAACGCGTGATGTACGCGTTGTTTTTCTCGTTTTTTGTTTGTTCTGCGTGAAGGCACGAGACTGGCTACTAGTGGATTATGAAGGATACGGCCTTCGCAGCATGCGTGCACGATTGCAAATGGCGGCCAACGTGTCGTTTTCGCGACGGGACGACGCGAACTTCGCCGTTTTTTCTCGCGCATTTCTCGCGTCACCGCTGCCCACTTGGAAGCATTTTTTGATAATTTCTCGTGCGAATTTCAGCTTGATATTTTCAGAAGTAATAGATTATAGTCCAAGGATGCCAATACAGCCGGAAAAAAAAAAGCGAAAGTTTTCCGGAAAACCGCGACTTTTCGACCCGCGTCTCCCCTTAACAGTGTTCGCCTGCTCGGCGAGGCGCGCGTCCTGCGCGCCCCTGCAAGGCATTCAAGGTCCCAAGGCTCTTCGTGCGCGCGCCGGTGAGCTGGCACGGGCGGGTTGAGAGAGAGTAAAATACGCGGGTATTTTTTTTTCGTAAAGCTAGCAAAATATTGGTGGTGTGCAAATTATGCGGGGGCGCAGATTATGCGGGAAAATACGGTATGTGGTATATGGAAGCATGAGCTGTGTGGTCCAGAAGGAGATGACTTCACATAAACACTCAATCTCACTCTGGTCTTGTACAGTCCGTTATTGGTAATAATGCAGATCTGGACGTGCTGCCTTCAAAATTATATATTTTATCGATAAATTTTTAAACGGCAGTCAGCATGTAACGATACATTTCAGAAGATTGGATTTTAATGGTCCGATGATGTCATCATACAGTGTAGCCCATTTATAACGAACCCACTTACAGTGAAATAGCAGTTATAAATAAGCGATACTGACTTGCATTTGTAGTTTCTGCATTTTCAATGCCTTTTAAGTCCCGTTTTAATGAAGTATATAAAGCCACCTCAGTCGATATAGCGAAGCATTTTTTTTTTCCAAGAAAAAGGGAAAAAAAATGCCATCAACATCATCCTTTCGAGCTTTCACACGAATCAAAACGGTAAAAAAAAAGAATGCTGGTTCTTGGCGTCCGGCAGCCTCCCCCAGCATCATTTGCCCTTTTATTTGGCTCTTTGCGAAGGCTTGTTTCATCGCATTACACGGTCGCCAAAACAATTAAACAGTTCCAATTTTTTTTTTCAGGCTGGCCGACGGCCAGGTAAAAGGTTGCTGGTATCTTATCTCGTCACACTGCGTACTGCATTCCCTGGCTTGCTTCACAAGAACACGACCCCACGCTTTGGGCCTTTGGGCCTCCCACGGGGCTGCGCCAGCCCTGTTTCGCTTGTGGTGTCGTGTCGTGGTGAAAAAGCTTGCATTGCGCCCCTAATTTGCTTTTTTTTCCATGGCATGGCGCCACCAGCGACACCTGCCTACGCCTGTCATGCTTGTTCGCGTGGTTGGCATGGTTCGCGTGCGAAAACATAGCAGTACAGTTGAAGAGCAGCACTCGTACGCTTGCTCAGCTCTGTTCATTAGTGAAAAGCGGGTCATCACAGTGCATTTGGACTTTCTCGTGGTAACAGCTTGCCCTGCCCTGTGCACCAACGAGCTCTTCAATAATGTCAAGTCCAGTGATACCTCCCTCAATGTGAAACGCGCCATTTTGGATGAAGTTCGCCAGGAAATGCCGATTCTGCTTGACAACTGCAGTGCACCCCATGTCAATGCACATCTACGTGCTGTCAAGGTCCTTTTCCTGCCTCCCAACACAACCCCCAAGATGCAGTCGATGGACCAGGGGATGACTGCAAACTTTAAAGCCCACTATCGCTTCCATGTCATCGAGCGTCTTCTCATCGACATCCGAACAGCTAACTCGTCTGACTTAAAAGCGGCACTGGTAAAGGCAATATTTTTCAGAAGTGGAGCCTGGAGGGATGTGAAGTGTCAAACGATCCTTCATTGTTTCCAAAAAGTGGGTTTCTCATGGGGTAACAGAGCTGCTGAAGAAGAAACAGCAGCAGCTGGTGCTGCGGCTGTGATGCACTTAGGGCAGCTTTGGGAGGCCGCTGGCAATGCAAGCCTTGTCCTAAGCAGGTTGGTTTACATGGGCTTTGCTCTTCCGAATGCAGATCTCATTGCAACTGAGGACCTCACCACCGACTAACTTGCCACTAGTGTCTCAGAATAGGAAACAATCGCCGATAGCAGCTCCTCGGATCCCGAAGTCAACGACATTGCTGCACCTCAGCTAGTAACCTCTAGAGCTCTCACAGCTGTCTACGTACTGCGTATGTATTTCAGTTTCGAACCAGACAATCGCACTCTGATGGACATTGTTGAGGCCAGGGTTCTAAAACACGCGTTTGGGCAACCTGTGCAGGGAACCCTCGACCACTTTTTTTCAGAGGGTATAAATAAAAATTTGCTACTTGGTCTGCTTGATGTTCCAACTTTTTTTTTTAGTGTTTGGATATAGTGAAAAAGTGGTTATAGTGAAGTAACGTACGATTACCGCTAATTTTTGTTATACTGTCTGTTTCTCATTTGCTTCCTTTTTTTTTTTATTTCTATACATGGCTTTGCCTGCGTTATGTTAAGCGACGACAGCCCGGGTTGTAAAGTGCTCTTTTTTTTTATTTGTTCGAGTGAATGTGCTAGGTGAAGTGTGCCCAGTTATACTATATTATATGCTACATGGGCGGATTGTGATGCATGTCTGAACGCCTCCTCATACATGCTACTCAGGGCTCCGGAAATCCTCACCAGGAGTGGTCACGCCAAGGCTGTCGACTGGTGGAGTCTAGGCGCTCTCATGTACGACATGCTCACAGGAGCGGTGAGTGTCCTTTGGTCCATGCCGGTGCCCATTTTAACACGATAGTGTTAAGCAGCTCGTTTCGCAGAAATTTTGGTGGGGGCATTAGGTGTCATTAGTTCTGAGGAAAAAACAATTTTTCGTGCAACTAAAAAGTTGAAAGATGCAAATAAAATAATGATAATTATAATTGAATCTAGGCTGTCTGAGTGGTAGCAGGTGTTTTACCGCAGAGCCACACTATTGCTTGGCACTGCTGTGGAGAAAAACACTAAATCAGTACCATATAGCGAAAGAGCTCTCCTTACAAGAGCGGTGCCATCAAATTTGTGGCTTCTGCATTTTTTCCTGCCAGTGTTCCTTTTAGCTCCAGAAAGCATGAGACACACACACCAGGATCCGTGTATTCTTCTGGATAATTTAAATGCGGTAAACTTTTGTTTAGGTTTCTTGGTGATGAGTTGGGCAGTGACCTAGCAGTGTAGGTGGCTTGATCTCATCACCACAAAAGGCTTTGACGTGCTCCCTGCCAAGTATTATGTGCTCTCGCACACATGTGCCTCAAAAGTACTTGCAAAACTAACCCATTGACAGTTGCTATAACGAGGGGCAGCAGCTGCGGTTGATGGAGCAACCGATGCTGGTACGTATGGTGTGAAGGTCCCCAAGTCATTCGGATTACTACATATCCGGTGAGATGTTACTACAGATCTGGCGTACTGTCACTACAATTTTCATTGCCTTTATTATAGAGCTATGTCAATGTAAGACGCACTAGCGATGGGTTTTTATCAGGAGAATGAGCATTAAACTAAATATATTCTAAACGTTTGCTGTGTCCTATTCTTTGTATGGAGTGTCCTTGCATACAGAGGAAACCCACAACATTCTTGATGTAGTCGCCAAATTTGTGCAGCAGAAGCATAGAGCCATGCCAGGTGTCAAGACATGTGAATTGTACGAGGGGGTGTTTTAAATCCCTACTCATTCCAAAGTGGTCAGGCATATTTAATCAATCAGTTGCAGATGCATCCACAAAGTGAGCAGCTGCGTAGGTTTGTGCGTTGCCTTACGTACGCGTAGTGGGCACATAACTGTACTTGCAACAGGCATTCTAGAATAGTTTGAAGCGGCCAATGTTACACAGACAGTAGTTTGTTTTCCTCATGGCACAGTTTAGGCTAGCAGTTGAGAAGGCGACGTGCAAAGGTTACGCTATCATGTCCTACAGTTGAAAGCAAAGCTCCAGCGTTCTCCAACTTATCTTACAGTTGATATATGCTTTGGATGCTGCTTTGGTCCACTTGGAATGCGATGTGATAGCAGTGGCAGCAGCTCAGATATCGTCCGGTTCATCCTCGGTAGAACAGTGGTCGCGATGCTCAGCTGGAGACCAAAAGGTCGCGGGTTTGATTCCAACCATGGTGGTCTCATTTCGATGCAGACTAATTGAAAGAGGCCCCCCGTGTATTGTGAGATGTTGGTGCATGTCCAAGAACACCACATGGTCGAAAATTCATGACCTCTTCACTACAGTGCGTCTCAATCGTATTGCCACACACACCCTTTTCTTTCTATGTTTTAGGTTGCCAGCTTACTGCACATCTTGACAGTGCTTTACCCAAACTGCACCAGAATTTCTGAGAGCATCCCTCATTATTTCGGGATTGTCTGGTAGGCTTAAGGGGGGACATGGTGTGTGGAGATATTTACTGTATTTGTGGACCAAACATGATGAGAATATGCATGCTTATTTCGAAAAGTTAATTTGTTGTGTGTGCACACAATGTGTCCTGTATATATTCAAGCCTTCGAGCTATGAATAAATCAGTTGGAAGTGAGCGCTGTGTGTTTGATGCATGGGTGTGTGCGTGTGTGAGTGATCGTGTCAAGTTTTCGCGCTCTAATTAACTTTTCGAAATGATCTACCAACTAGCCCAACAACAAGTTCTCTTAGAATACATGCTTATGTAGTTTCTCCTGCTGACTTCAAATATGCAAAAAATTTTATTGTCGGTCAATTAATTTAGAAGATACACAATGCTGCCACTCTATTGTTTTCGGAGACAATATAACATAAAGTGCTTATCAAAAAGTAAATATTGCACAGCTAGACAGTGCAATTAGCAATAAGTGCAATGCTGCAAGCAGATTTCAAGTTAAAGAAAAACTAGTGATTCTGCAGATGATGAAATTTGAGGAGTCATGTCATGGCTATCACATACAAAGAAATTTAATACTTTCTAAATTTATATGGGCAGCAAATGGAAATTCTGCTCTCAGCACTTTCTAATACACAGATTGGGCTTTACGTTAAGGAAAAAAATTATTGCTCTAGCTATTCTAGATTGCAAAATATCAACCCGACAAACTAGTAAAGTCACCAAAAAGCATGTTTTCGGAAAACTCAGAAAAAGAAATAAAACTCATTCATTTACGTAACTGCACTTGAATATGCTCAGTATGCACCGGGCATGTAGTCCTTTTGACTATGAGTCTGTGTGGCGCTTTTTCAGGGACTGGTGCATGTTCTCCGTTGCTTTTCGCTTCTTGACTGATGCTGCCGTGCGCCGTCGATCCTTTTCAACCATGCGGCTGCGGCTTTGCCAGCTGGGGTTTAGGCTCAGCTCTTTCATAATGTGTTCTGATGCCTTTTTATTGCCTGCATTGAACTTGAGCACTGATTCTGCCACAGCTGCCTCCACCGTGAATAGTGAAGCATGTCGCTCTTTTGGTGCCACCGCCCAGATCATTGAACGCAGGCATTCGTTGTTATTTTGGGTTTTCCCTCGCTGGCATCGTTGCAACAGTTTTCTGTCTGACAAGCGCTCATAAATGGGAAGTAAAGCTTGGCAGACATGTGGAGGCAGCTTTCGACGATGTTTGGGAATGGGCTCCCCCTTGGCTTTAGCCGCATTTTGTTTGCACCAGAAATTTGGACCAAGTGGGCACAAAGTGTGGTTTGCCACATTATCATTGGACGTGATGTGATGATAAGTGGCCATCACTGCTGTGTGTATAGCATCAACATCACCACTGTGTGTCTTCAGAGCCCACCCATAATAATTGGTGAGCTTGGAGATCAGGTCTCCTGTCAAGCGGCCCTTTCCCCCAAGACTCTCAAGGCCAGGGTCTTTGTGTTTTGCAGTCAAGTTGTGCAAAGCAGTGTCCATACGCTTTTGGACATGATTAATGCAGTCCTCTTTTTCCACTGTGATATACCCATAAACCTTGTCTTCCTGTAGCGCAAGGTAACTGCGGCTGTCCCCGTCGTAAAGCACCGTGGTGTAGAGCAAGTTGTGCCACTCATGTGACCTCCTGGAGAGGATAAGGGCAGCCTCAACCTCCATTTCCCCAGCCTTCTTGTCACTGTTTTTCTGACACTGGTGATGTTCCTTCCACGCTGCATAAGAAGGGTCACCTTCCTTTGGGCCTGACTCGCATCTAGCACAAAAGTTGCTCAAAACAACGAAGTCAAGCACCAGCCCACTGAACAATTCTATGATGGTGCCGAGACCGATATGTGACGAATGACCGCGAGTCATCCATGGCCCATCAAACGACACCGCGATGTTTCCCATGTGGCCTATATTATCTTTGGCGTAAAGTTCGCGAACCGACCGCGCGCAGTTGCTTGTAAAATTGCGTGCAGCACGATCGGCCGCGGGTGCCAACTTCATCTTCATGTAGTGTTGCCATGTTTTTGTGTGAAGACCCCGACGGCTGATGCCCATCAACGAGAACACATCATTCAGCGCAGTCTGTCTGTTCCCCGTTGCCTGCATGGCATGCGCGGCTGAAACGTTCACAGCAAAAGGTTTCATGCATTCATTGCTTCGTACGTGCGGCGAGCTCCACAACGACGCAGTATCCCCACAGGTCGAACACACAAAACGCAACATCATGGCGAGTCCGAATTCCCAGTGGTCGCGGACAATCTGCAGTTCTCCATTGCATGCCTTGCACTTTGCAAATGCCAACAAAGCGCTGTGCACTGTGTCCATATCTATAATTGTGAACGTGGTTCCATGAGGCGGCCGAGCTGCTTCGTCGCCACCGTCAATCACGAATGCACGTTTCCGCTCCCTCGCAGCAGCGGATGACAACTCAGATAACTTATCTTCGGCTTTAGCTCGCTCCTCTTCCAAGTCCGATTGCTGCCAATAAATAGTATCTAGACGCACGCAACCGCTGCTCGAAGGCTCCGCAGCTGACGGATTTGCACAGGCTTCGTGACAACTGATGTGGTAGCTAGGCCTCCCGTGGTAACGTCGACGACTTCGCCATGGGACGTGCATAGTGTAGCGTCTCGGGGGTTTTGCTGTATCACGGAGCACTTCTTGAAATTCGCTACTAGCGTCCTTTGCACCTTTTTTGCACTAAACTTGTATCGCGTGCGAAATTTGCGCTCAGGATTTGACATCGTGGAACTTCTCCGCTGACACTGAGGCAAAATGGTGCGCATGGACGCGCGCCTCAATACCCGGAGCAGACGAAGCCGGGAGCCTCCATCAATAGGGAGGCAAGCTCAAGTCACGTGCGCGAAGTAGGGAATAGGGAGGCGCTCTGATACTTCTTTTTGCTACTCATTTTACAAGCTGCCAATGGTTGAATTGCACGCATTCTGGCGGGAATTCGAAGACGAAAAATGGCTCTCTGAGATGGGACCAAGTAGGCCGCGCTGGCACACATGAAAGGGCAGGGGCACGTCACGGAAAATGTGCAATTTCAACGTCGATTTCAGCTCATATTTAGCTAGAAAGCGCCGCATAAAGGGTCTTAGCAGCTAAAATAATGATAATATAGGCATGAAATTCACGATATAAGTGCACTAGTAGCTGTATATTTCAAAAACACAATAAAAAAACTTTTTTTTTCGCGATTTTTCATCTTTACAACCTGTGTCCCCCCTTAGGCACGCAAACGCTAATAGTGGAGATCGTTCTCAAACAAATTGGGCCACCAGTCGGGCTTTTCTATTTTCCACTTCTAGCTACCCGCAGGCTGCCAGAGCCAGCCAG